ATAGATAGATAAGTAGGTAGATGAATAGTTAAACAGTTATATGGATGAAAAAAATTGTTAGATAGATAAGTAGGTAGATAAATAGATAGATGGATGAATAGATAGATACATATATCGATGATAAATACGTAGATAAATAGTTAAGAAAATAGATAGTTTTATAAAAGTATGGATAGATAGAGTAATGATAGAGAAATATATAGACGAACAGATAAATTGATGAATAGATAGATATGAAGAAAAATAGATAGATAGATGGTAAATAGATAGATAGTTAAACAGTATATGGATGGATGGACATAAATGCGCATATAGGTGGATAAACTAATAGATCGATGGAAAGATACAGGTTAGCTAGATGAATGAATGAATAACTAATAACGTTGAAATAATTTTCATGCTTGGATTCACATAAAATTAAGCAGTTCCATTATTATGTTTTTAACTCAGCGAGTATTATGCTCAGTTCGAGATTTTTAATATCGCCCTGGTCTTTGAATTACGCGAATGATAGTAATATTCAATTTACATAAAAAATAAATACTTTTGTTAACCGTAAAATATTTTTTCCGTTAAGCAGCGTACACCTTTGTGTTAGAGCGTGTTTTCAACGAGCTTTTTACATAGAAGTGGAATTATTTAAAATCTAAAAAGGATTTGGGAGGAAAATATTCGGGATGAATTATTTGATTTAATGCTCTTCAAGAGAAAATCCTACTTAATCTCGCCACTCGCGCCTCTTGTATTTTATTTGCAATTGCTTGGAAATGAAGTGGTTAACCACTTTTCTTTAACCTTTATAATAAAAAAGGCGGTTTAAACTTTGTTCAATGGTTCTAAATTACAAATTAAAAATAGTAGTAAATAATTAATAACTAATTAAGTAAATTTAAAATAATTACATAGTTCGTTTCTTTTGAGCAACTTTTCGAATTTGAACATTTAACTTTTCCTTATTTTATTTCTGATTCAGAAAGTTACGGAAGAATTTAGGAGAGTGAAGAGTCCTTTCAATATTGAACTTATACGGTTCTTTTTTAGGCAACAAACCACCTATTCTTAAATATGCAGGAGCTGGTTGTAAATCTGGCCAAAGAAGTGTTTGCTATTGTCAGGCGAGGAAGTGGCCCTAAAACTGCTACAAGTTACCACGTTGTCCGGCCAAACTCCTATCGCAAAAGTACTTGGAATATAAACGAGGCCTTTATTCCTAAATATTTTCTAACACCAAAATATTGTGATATAGACAGTTTTACCGTATAAAAGGTTAAATTATACTGTCTTATTTTATATATGTAGTGTAATGGAGTTTTCCCTTAACGATTTCATAAATGCGCATTTTAAAAGCGTTAGTATTTTCTTGGTGATTTTCAATGGTTTAATTCGTTTTAAAATATATTTCTTTTCTAAACAAACATATTTAAGAAAAGAATCAATGTACAAGCTGTAATAGTTTAACCAAATTAACTTTAGAAATAGACAACGATGACTTTAAATATCATTTTACACCATGTAAACCGAATGCTCACAGACAAGTTTTTCTTTGTATTTAAAACAATTAGCTAATTTGGCCAGTATTGATAGTAGCTCGTCAACTGGCAGAAATTTACCGCATATCTGTTTGCGATTAGCTTTCAGGGTACCCAGATAACGATCCAACTCTTAGAAGATTAATGATTCTGTGTAACAATACATTTTGGCAGCGATCGTGAGTCAAGTCAAAGAAACTTTAATTAACCGATTCAAAGAGATAGTTTCGTAAATGACTACTTGAGAACGTAACAGTTATTTTCAAACAAATATTTCACAAATGTGTAAACACTGAAGCATAGAAACTTTTATTTTATATTTTATATTATTACCTATTTACTGTTATACGATGCTAATATGCATCATTTTTTTATTTTTTGTTCAGCATACATCGTGCTCTTTTCACATCATTAATATTTTTAGCAAAGTGCCCACTTTCAAATAATGTGCCATTGATCGGAAAAATGGAGTCAGATGGCGCGATGCCAGGACTATGTGTAGGGTGAGGCCATTTATGGGATTTGTTTCTGTTTCAAAATTGCGTACAAATTTAACCATGGATAAAAGAAAATGTGTCAACATTTATTTGTATAACTTCACCCATTTAATTGTTTTTAAATAAAAATTTAATATCGAAAACATTACTTCAACATGCTGTAAAATACCCCGGGAGCACAAAAACTATTTTAAAATAAAACTTAATGCAAAATCTATTATTTATGTTGTTATAGTTATTTTGTATATAGTTGATCGTTTACTGAGCATTTGATATGCCCTTGTGATTTTGTTGTAGAGCCGAAGCGCAATAATTGCCCGATTAGTTGATAAAAATCCCAACTAGATGAAGAGAAGTCAGATATACAAGTAGGATGAGGCATTTTTCTTCTATCTTTGAAAATCATGCCAAATTCGTAGAAACAATTCAAGAGTGATCTTTTCTGATCAATCAAATATGCAGCATAAAAACTCCAATTTAACAAAATCATGAACCATGTTTTCATTTCATTCTTAGACACAATTCTGCATTCGTTATTTAATACTGAGCAACGTTATAATTAATGAAGATTAATATTATTAGAGTAGAACAGAGAAGTAGAAAAAAGAGTGAATATATATATATATATATATATATATATATATATATATGTGTGTGTGTGTATTTGTAGAGAGAGAGAGAGAGAGAGAGAAAGAGAGAGAGAGAGAGAGAGAGAGAGAAAGAGAGAGAGAGAGAGAGAGAGAGAGAGAGAGTGTATGTTGTGAGAGTAGAAAGGGACATAGACTAAATAAACAGATAGAATGAAATTATTTGTTATTATTATAACATGTAATAACATTTGCTATTTATACATTGTGTCCTTTTTAGATGACCCGGCTGAATTTCTCTTGAAATAATACGCTATCAATAAAACAAAAAAAGCGGGTTTAATATGTTTTAGTCTAGCCTCAAATTTTTACCTTTTTTTTGGCGAAAAATTATGCAGGGTACCTCAGGCCCAGTTCAATTCCAAATTTCAAATACGACCCTAGACATCCTGACAGATCATTTTAATGGATTTTTTACACGGAAAACAATGGTGCGATCGGATTTTAAATTGGTCAAAAAGTTATTGCAAAAATAAATCGGCGGCCTAATTTCGACGAGGACCTGAATATTTTACCTATGTTTGCGAAAATCCGAATTCCTCTTTTCGGAATGTTGGAAGGGCTTTCCGTTAAAAAAATTATAAATGTACTCCAGACTTAGATTTTAAACCGTATCGCTCTCACCATGTCCAGGTACTTCGGGACTCTGATTTTGACTGGCGCCTAATATTTCTTGAACAAATGTCGATTTGATAGACTGAACAGAACGTTCTTCCATACATTCTGTGGACTGATGAATCCAAGTTCACCTCTAATGGCATACTAAACAGTTAGAATTTTAGAACGTGGGCGCAGGAAAATCTGAGAATTTCGTACACGTCATCATCAGGTGGTTCACAGTATCAACATTAGGTGTGGACGTCTGGGAAATAAATTAATAGGTCCTTATTTCTACGAAAATAATTTAAATGCTCAGGGAGGTTTTCCTAACACTATTACATGATATTAACATAGGAATATATATTCCTCTGCAACTACGACATAGTAGACATTCTTAAACTTGATCGGTGCCTCGCACTTCTTTGGAGGTGAGACGTTATTTAAATCGTCACTTCCGGGATACGTTTGAAGGATGGTACTAGACTGCAAAAACAAATTAAACATATTAGTACTCAGAACAAAGTCAGCCTCTGCTGAGTCCCAAGACAGATGGGAGTAGAAGGCAAGGAGAAAGCGGACACCCTTGCAAGGCAAGGAACTGCTTCCCAGCTGACAAGACCTGAACCATTCTGTGGCATAGGAACCCACACTATTAATGTGTATCTCAGACATAAAGACAAAAAGAAAATGAAGGAACTATGGAATTCACTCATTGGACACAGTCAATCCAAGAATCTCTAAACAAATTTCGGAAAAAAAGAATTTACAGAATGTGTCAAGGGAAACAGGAACAAACTGCGAGGCCGAATGGTACTTTTAACAGACACTGCAAGCTAAATGGACACTTAAAGAAGATTGGAATAATCCAAAACGGCATACGCAGATTCTGCAAAGAGGCAGAGGAGACACCAACACATCTCACAAGCGGAGTTACACTTGCCCGTAGGAGGAAGTGTTTTGGGATGTATAATGAGACCATAGAAGAGCTTCAACCAATAAAACCGGGCCTATTAATCAAGTTTCTTGATGAAAAAGGACTCATCGAAGTGCTTTAGGCAGAGAAATACTGCACATCGAATATTACATCTACAACTACATCTTCCGGGATACGTGGATAAGACCTCATGGCCTGATCTGTTGGCTCCTCGGTCACTGATTTAACTCCATTTGATTATTTTCTGTGGGCCCATTAATGAAACGTATGTACGCCAATCGGAACCCAGCCACCTCAGTTGAAAAACTGCGGTAAAGTGCTTGTGAAAATGCTTGTCAATTCATCTCCCTTGACTCTATCGCTCTGAGCACTGGTGAAGAGTGGTTAAAAAGAACAAATCTTTGCATTTTTCGCAGGCAGGCAGTTTGAACATGAAATGTGATTAATAAATACCAAAGAAATGACTCTTTTTTCCCCAAACCTTTTGATAAATCTTTGTCATTTTTTGACCAATTTAAAATCTCTTTGCACAGTTGTTTGAAGCGTTAAAAATCCTTTAAATTGATGTATAGGGTCGTATTTAAAATTTTGAAGTTCAACTAGGCTTGATGTACTTTATCATTTTTCTCCAAAAAAGGTAACAAGTTGAAACTAGAATAAAAATATTAGAAACGAATTTTTTTATAGTGTCCTTGGTTTAAAAGAGAAATTCAGCCGGGTCACGTAAAAAGTCACCTTGTGTATCGCACGTTGTAAGAATTTCATTGAAATTAATTGCCCAAATTTTTTTCAGCCTGTGAATGCCTCATCTACAGTGCGACATACGGGAAAGAATATGGAAGATTCAGCAGTCCGGACTACCCGAGGACGTACCCGGACGACATCGATTGCCTCCTTTATACTTTTATAGCCGGATCGACAGAAATCGTGGAAATCAACTTCCGCCATTTCGACCTCCATCCATCACAAGATGGGTTCGTAAAATTGTGATATTATATCATTTAAAAAACACACACAGAAATACATGTAGTTACATTTAAAAGATGTTTTAGCACTAACAAAATTTATTGTTCTTCATTAACCAATTGATTGCTGTCATAGAGGAGTGCTCAAAGTTCAACTAGCCGTCGAATTATCGCGGGTGAAGGTGGTCACCGAACTTTGCGTTAAATTTTTCCATATTAATGTCAAATAAAAGTCTGATTCAAAACTACAACTTGCGGCCTGTTTCGAGTCAGCCACCGCGGTTCTCTAATTGAATAAATAAAAAATGATCCAATAAATAAAAAATAAGCGAATCAATAAAAAATGAGGGAATAGATAAATTATTTTCTACATTGATATTTTTGTATATTTTTTTAATTTTACATCCATGGGGAATCTCTCTTTTGGCATCTTTTTACTATTAATTAATTATAAATATTTGCGTATGTGACAGATTAAAGCATGTTGATGTCTTACCTTTAAAACCGTTTGCAATTTTGTTATTCATAACTGAACCGAATACAGATCCTTTAAGAGGCCTTTCAAGAAAGTTTTGTCGTTGTTGATAAATCCCCTGAAAAATTCTTTATGAACTGTGTATCGAGTAAGACAAAGTTTTACGCCCCTTTAAAATCCGCTCTCTTTTTTTAGTGCAATCAAACTTTTATACTTAAAAGCATAATATTTTTTATTTAAGTTTTTATAAATCCTAATCGCTTGTAAAATAATGACAGTATGGAGCGAAAATTTGCAAATATTCATCAGATGCTGTTTTAAGCACTGACATATTAAAATAGTTTCCAAAAAGGCATTAGAGAATATTAAATTGAAGAAATTATAAGTAGAATGGAATCTTATTTTACGCAAAATGTACTCTCTTCGTTTTAAAATTGAAATTACACCTATCTAAACAAAAAATGGAACCAAAACAACTTTATCAATCATTTTGGATAGACTTTATAGCTGACCTCCTGCGCAATGCTTATATTCTTTAGCTTATATTCAACGCTTTAGCTTCTACATTTACAAATCCTCATTTTATTACAATAGCACCAATATGAACCGAGTAACAATTTATTTGTTTTCCATTTATTGAATTATAAGTCGGTAATCTTCATATGAGAAGCAGAATTGTTATATATTTTATGTCTAATGTGCGTTATTAAATTGAGTCCAGCCTGTTTCTAATGTTTGCCGATTTCCTTTTAAATAAATCTTATTTGAATTCTGGAGGATTTAAATTCCTCGTTGGGAATAAAAAAAAGTAAAATTATTAGGTTTAAAAAAATTGCAAAATGAAAATTTTAATAAAAATCTATCCTTGTTACAGTTTCAGTCAATATCCTAATTTGAAACTAATTGTAGGTATGGTTAAATAGCGCCGGTTATCATTCATTTCGGCATCTGTTGAGGCAAATTCATGTAGAATTTCTTTTCTTTTTTTGGTTTTAATGTACTGCTCACAAAAATAAATTACAATAACTAATTTAGCATGGGTCTAAAGTGAAAAGGATTAGACATATTATCAAATTATGATAAAAATCTCCATAAAAAATAATGAAATTTTTTAAATTTTTTTTTCCATTCTTGGTTTATCCAAACAAATTCGCTGAAAATAATACAGTTAGAACAAGCACATTCTGCTGAAATGAACCCTCGTAAATCCAACACTGTGTGCTGCACATACCGCAAGGCCATTCGACACGACTATAAACATGAAACGTCTTTACAAAATAACTATGGAATTAATACCTAGAGATATGGCCGTATGAAAAATCGCTTCGGTCGAGCATCTAAAGAAAACAGTTTGCAATACGGCCAATCGTATTGCGACGGGTTTTTCTGAATTGCCAATTTTTAATTACCAAGGAAATTACGCAAAATTCACGTGTATTTTAATTATTTATAATATATNTAAAAGAGAGAGAGAGAGAGAGAGAGAGAGAGAGAGAGAGAGAGAGAGAGAGAGAGAGAGAGAGAGAGAGAGAGAGAGAGACACTTTTACAGCCTTTTCCTCTGGCTATGGTTAGTTATGGATTTGACCCAGCGACACTCGTTTAAAAAAAAAAATTTTATTCTGCAAACAAGAAAATTATGAAGAGACCGTGATCGGCATGCAATTCCAATTCAAACTGAGTCAGGAAGGAGATGTATAGCCTCTATTGAGTTGCCGAATCTGTGAGAACTTTGAACTTTGAATGAAGACAGCCTCAACCGTTGTGGATGTAACTTATACCATATATATAAGCACATTTCAGCAGCAGGCACTTTTTACCACTAGAAACCTAATAAAGCATGCAACTTGCCATCGTAGTTTCAGAGCTGTGAGGCGTCTGAAAAGACATTTTGTTTAGCTTAAAATTGAAAATGTTTAATATGCTTTTTTTTGTTATGTTTTATTAACGTTATTTGATAAACTGTTTGCCATCTAATGTGCTATATCACGTAATAATTGTTTGATTAGTTATTTATTTATTGCTCACTTTATATATTATTTTGCTGGAAACTGTAATTACGGAGATATCTCAATACATGTCATGCATAATGTTCTGTTATTCTGCCAACACAAATTGTAGTACTAAGAACAAAAAAAGTTTTTAATAAAAAAGAGAAAACCACGGATAATATATTTAGAATGATAAACAGGAAAAATATTGATATACACAGTCGCAATTTTCTATAGACGAGAAAAAAACTTCGAGTTGTCAATTCAATGTCAAACATTTGCTTTTTCATACTTTTAAATTGACCAAGACAACCGCTCCGTAGTGAGTGAGCCTTAAAATATTAATGGACATAAATGGATTCGCCCGGAAGCTTTCACAATAGCAGTTATTTCTACCTACTCGGAACCCGTCTGTGGTTTAACTTGAAAACAAAAAGAAAAAAAGAGAAAACAGTTATAACATTAACACAATTAATTTATAACAAAATTGTGATTATTTATATGATCATCTGACGGCTTTTTTCGACAATAATTTATATTTGCCACTAGTTTTTTAGTTACAAACGCATGGATATTAAATTTTAGCAGGACAAAGATATATAGTTTTGATACAATGATAAAATATAATGTACAAAATTATGAAGAAAATGTACGTAAAGATAACGACATAGGAATGTTAAATTAAAAAAAAGGTGATAAATTTACATTGTTTTAATAATTCTAGTATTGAAATTATTGAATTATAAATAATTATGAATTAACAATGATAATAATGATTATTCGAAAATCGTGAGATGCGGTCACAATCTTCAAATAATCATTCACTAATGGTCAACAATGATCAAATTTTATATTACAAACGTATATAGTAGAAAAAGAATCGCTCAAATATAAACAGTCAATACATCGTAGGATAAAAGTTACTAAACAAATAAATAATCGAATTCATTAACTAAATAAGATTTCTACTAATAGATTTCCAAGCGAGGCGAGTATGTTTTACAAGATTTAAACTTTAGTAGCTTTTTTAAATTTATTTTTGTCAGAGGACGGACAAGATGTCACTTTCTGAATTCTGACAGAGAATTTAAAACGGGAGTTAAAGAACACTTGCCTAAATCGAATGAATTTTCTGAATTTAAGGACCATCTATATAAAACGCATCACAATTTCAAATTAAATTTAAATACAACAATGGTACACAGTTTTAACAAAGGAGGGTACTAAATTTGTTTGAGAAATGTGAAATAGAAAAATGCTAAACTAAACATGGAGATAAATGAGTAAATAATTCAATAAATTTTGATTTCTTCATGTTTTAAACATGTACTTAAATTATATTTGACAACAGAAATTAATAACTAATGATTATTTGGAGATCGTGAGATGAGGCCTGGTATGACGTAGGTTTTAGAAAAACCTTTTGTTTATCCTGTCAACGTTTCGATCTTTATTGAGATCATCTTCAGGTCTGCCCAGGCATTATTATTAGCAACACGACACACCAGAATGACTCATATAAACAGAAAACAAACTCTTTGAGCCCTGAAGGTGATCTCAATAAAGATCAAAACGTTGGCATAATAATAAAATGTTTTTCTAAAACCTACTTCACACCAGACCGCATCTCACCATCTCCCAATAATTATTAACTAACGGTCACTAAACACCACTACTAAACAATAACTATTTTAACATTATTTTCTCACAATGTTTATTATAATATATTTGTGTTGTAATTCACATTAGTCGCACTTTGAAATTGATCGGCTTTAAAACCAGCTTCGCATTGGAACCTCGGTTTGGCTGTGTATTCATTTCGAGAGACTGGTTTGTAACTCTTTCAACCTGATAATGAACGTTAAATGTTCGTTGAAAACAACAAAATGTGAGTAATGCGTTTCATGTTTGCAGAAGAGGAAAGAGTAATATCCTCAATTTTATTACAACGAAAAATGTATAAAGATTGAATATTTAAAATCTTTAATTAAATTGATATCAAAATTTGATAAACCAAATCAGGCTTTATTTATATTATTCGAATGCCCAGTACATGTTAATAAAAGCTTTACTTTAACGATATCGTAAACAACACTTAACCTGTCGAAAGAACTGTAACCACAGATATTAAAAGTTACCTAATGCAATTCTAGGTGTTTGGAAGGAGACTACATTCGAGCTTATTTGGATCTGGACAGAGCCCATCTCACAGATCTCACTGAAGCAACTGGCATCTTGTGCTCGGCTGTTCAAAGTTTTCCTCATTTGCTGTACAGTTCCGGACCTTTCTTAGTGCTCGAACTTCATACATCTAAGAGACCGAAAAACGCAAACTACTCTGGCTTCGTCGGCACCTTCAGATTCATCGATACGAGTAAGTAATGGTCGGTTTTAATTAACTGTTTCATTATTTATTTTTATTTACTTTTCCGTGTAAATTTTTAAACTATTTGTTATTATATCCTAGTAATTGTTTTGTCATGTTTAATCATGTTGTGTATAAATTATGTACGCGTAAAGATTTCGTTGATAAAAACATTTTTTGCCGAACGTTTGGTATAGAGTAAAATATCATTAATTATTCATTACTGTAAAATTGATATTGCTAATAATTAGCGGTTTATTTTATAATTTTAATTTTTTTAAAACATTATTAGAGTTTATTTACGATTACAAACTTTGATTTGATATTTTAATTTAGCATACATACAAATAAATGAAATATTACTGTGGTTATTTTTGCTAATAATAAATTTGATTTATTGAAGAAATACTTTATTAATGATGGTAATATAGTTTATCTAAGGCCTGACGGCGCTAAAGTCCTACACTTACGCTTTACATACAGGTCGTGAGGGTTTAGCATAACTTGCAAAATTGGCAATGCATACTCATTTCTAAAACGAAACCTATCTAATATACTTATCTTTACGGTATTTAAAAAGGTATTGGCTGAAGTGTGTGAGAGAGAAGGATCTATACGATTGGTGTAAAAAGTCAAATGATAGGCGAAGGGTAAACGCAAAGTTTTAATAAAATTTATCACTTGTCTCACTATTTTCTCAGAAGATACCATGCCATCGTTGGAAAATCATATTTGAAATTTGCAAACAATCGTTGTCAATACTTATTTTAACTTTAGCTGCTTTATACCTTTTGTTTATATTAAAATTGTGAAAAGTTTTCCGCTAGGGCTGTCTCTTTTAGAATATTTAGAATAGGCTAAACCCGTGCAACTTCTGTGTCATGCCGAACTGTTAGCCCGCTTTATTTATTTTGTTTATATATGTTTGTAACTAAAAACGGATGTTTTTCTATCATAAGATCTCTTCCATCTCTCTTCTGTTTCTCTCCTTCCCTCTCTCCAACCCTCTCACTCACTCACTCTCTTTCTCTCTCTCTCTCTATCTCTCTCTCTCTCACTCTCTCTCTCTCTCTCTCTATCTACCTATCTATCTATCTATCTACCTATCTACTATATATCTATCTATCAATGTATCTATCTATATATTTATCTATCTACCTCTCTCTCTCTCTTTTTTATCGGGAAAACAATTCAATGTCCAATTAAAATATCAATCAGACCTTTTCAGGGCTAGTCTTAAACTGTTTTTATTATCCTTTTAATCAGCCATTCTTAGGGGTAAGCCCGATTAAAATTGAAACAACTGCTTGTTGCAATATTCTGTTTAGAGCATTATCGTTGTGTATTTACTGTCAGGAATATTTTAAGGTAAGCGATAGGCTCCAAATCGTCGGCCATGTTTCCGAGTGGAATATTGCAATTTCATTGTGGGATCAGATCTTTATGATAAGATAATGAAATGTGAGTATGAATATTTCAAGTTAACAAAGTTAACGGTAACCGTGTTGGCGACGTCAAACTGATCGCCGCCACACGAGTTTGTAACATTCGTGTAAATATTTTTCGGGGTTGTAATGTAATTACTATTTGAGAAACGGCGGAATTTTTCATTACTTGATACGGGGAATGGTGACGTGTTAGTTTCCAATACAATAATTTAAAAAAAAATTACAGGTTTTCTTAATTGTTTACCGTTTATATTATTGGTAAAAATTCAAGAAAATTCAATTTCTTATACCTTTTCGTATTTATTATTGAGTTATTTGAGTATACAAATTATAATATGTAATCAATGTAGTTAACCTTTTAGAATCATAGATAGATTAGCATTATAGATTTAAAACAAGTTGTTTATCTGATATTTTTGCTTATTTTATTAAACAAATATTGCAAATAAAATATATGGCAAAAGCAGGCTTGAAAGATTATTAACATGATAGCATGGGATTGTCTCCAGAAAAAAGTTATTATTAAATATTGTATCTAGAAATATGGTGATTATAAAACGTTCACAATGTCACTTCTAGCTATAAAGATAAATAAATATATCAAGTCTTTTTGGAGTTGGCGTTTTTTTAAAGATTAATTGACAACAAACAAGTGTTTGATACTTAAAATATTTTTTTCCAGTCAATGTAGAAAACCTTAATAATAGTGTGTGGTGATTAGTGACCGTTAATCGATATTTATTTAGAAATCGTGAGATGCGGTCTTAATAATAGTAGATGGCTTATTTATTTCATTATTATTATTATTTGGCCAATTGGCTTATACGACTATTTCCGGTGCCTCAGATCTTTTCCACTCGCAATTTTACAGTTTTAGAAATTAGCCGCTCTCGTAGGAAAGTTTGACAATCTTTTATTTTCAATGGAACTTATGGAAGTTCGCTATATGTCATGTTCAGCCTTTCTACGCATTTAAAATGTCACTAAAATCAATTTCAAATCATAAAAATGGATACTACTATATATTGGGTTGTCCGGAAAATAATGCAGGATTTTAAGTTTTCATTAAAAAAATCTATATAAAATATTCTGTTTACGTTTACAGGATTACTCANTTCTTTTTTTTTGTTTAATACCAAAATCCTGCATTATTTTCCGGACAACCCAATACATAATCTACCTTTCGTGGGTACTCAGTATTCCACTGAAATCCTAGCCTCCTTCGCACTAATAATACTTTCATAGATAAGAAAACTTTTCGAACAATACATACAGTTAAAAGTAATTAGTGGGGCACAGTATTAGAGAATTACGCTGGTGCTCGACACCCATCCCCCTATAAATGTATAACAAGTTAGTAAAAAATCTAGTTTTATATGTCTAGTGTCCAACCCACACTACATTTTACTTCAAATCCACCACACAAAGCTAATAAATACATTCACTTAATAAAGGATTTTCACGGATGAAAAAGTCATCATTCTCTACCGTAGGTATATATCCGCTTCAAGTGTTCAATCAATTTTTAGCTGTAATAAGGTGTTTTTCACAATTTTCTAGGCTTTTCGATCGGCAACACTTTGTTATGTGTCAGTATGCCATCGCCTATTTGAAATCAAGTCACCGCTATACTTCATTTTCTGACCATTTTTTCCGAGACCCATGAAGTCCGCCTATCGTATTTCTATCAATTTTTAGTTCGTTGCAGTTCAGAATTTGAATGTTTATATATATACCTATATTAATATTTCATACATAAAATATAGTAAAATGTTTTCTTAACATTATTATTGAACAGCTTTATTATAATTTCCAGCTTATTTTCTGTATAATGCAAAGAATAGTCTATTATGTATTATTTAATGAAAAACTTTTTGACGTCTCGTGTCCCAAATGCCCAAACCGTTGGCGTTGGGGGAACAAATGAAAGGAATGATTAATGATGGCGCTGTTTCCAAAATGTTTAACACAAGCATCAGATATTTCTTATCATGGGGGGATTTACACTCCGAATAAGTTCCGTCCGGTCGTAAAATATTCTCGTCCTAGAAAATTTATGTTACATTTTGTTTCCATCGTTTGCAGCACTGTCCAAACGATACATTTTTTGTTTGTTGATAACCGATGAGAAGATATAATTCATTATTGGCTGGACGGGAGTTTCAAGCCTTATCGGTAAATTGGCTACACCACCATCTACTATTTCCAAACCGGCTAATATTTTTTGATACAATTTATAGCCCAAAAATATGTTTTTTTACAATAGTGCGTTATTTAGGTTTCTTTTATGAGCAATTTTCCAATTTTTGCTTCGAAAAACATATTTATTTATCATATTTAAACCGTTTTATTATACATAAATAAATATTACATTCATGCTGCATATCTTTGTAAAAGCAATGTTTTGTACATTATTTTAATAGCATTTTGTATAATATTTCAATAGCAGTCTTAATATATTGCAAAATTTAAAAAAAACTTCCATCAGTATTTTTTTAAATATTGATGTGCTAGTGCCAATTTAAAAAAAACATTTGTCTTTTCCTACCTTAACAAGTCTTTAAGAAATGCTTGCTGTTCCAGCCCGAACAATTCGAACTCCAATTAGCAACTGTAATTTGTTATCGCTGTCAAAAGAAATGCGATCAGCAGGCTAATTTGTGTAAGTTTTCTTCTAAACCTCTTTTGGATGAAACAATATTTTTGTTAAAATTTATCGCTTTGTAATATTGCTGTTGCTTATTTGCAAAAAATGTGAAGTGGAATTCGATTTCTGTTTAATATACAAATAAATTCAAAGTACTAAATAAGATGTAGAACTTACATAGTTATCTCATATAATGATCATATAATGAAATTATTTAATTCCGAATAAAAGTTTCATCGATATTGACGTTATCATACAATTCGTAGCACAGTTCAAAAAACAACTTTTGTTCAGTATGACACATAATGTAATTATCAGCTGTAAAATGTTAATGAAAATCTGTGAATGATTTTATTGAATTTCAAAACACACTAAATGAGCGAATGCTTTGTATTCACCCATTACTCTTGTGGCTGTATCATTCATCTACGAGTATATTGAATATTAATGCCTCCATTCATATTCAGATTGTCGAATAAATTTGTCTAGTAATGAGTATATCTAACCATGCGAAAACCGTTTGGAGTTTTCAGCGGTCCTTCGACCTCGTGCGAATACCCTCCGGCTGATATGTCGATAAATGTAGCAGAGGAGACGAAAACGATTAGTATTCAAGGGAGGGAGTTGCAGTATGAAGATTTGGCCCAAAGTTTTCATCGAGCGTGGGGCTCAATACGCCTCAAATCACCCCTCTTTTCGCCATAGTTTTATACGTCTGATTTCTTCAGTAAAGCTCGATTTCGAGTCCAAGGCGCACACTACCAGTACGTTGTAAAAGTTTTACTGTTATAGATATTTGCCATTTCGTAGTTTCTTTATTACAACATGACAATATTCATGTATAATCTTAACTTTTTTGATACAGCAGCAGCTAACTTATTTAAGCAAAAAAATCGTTTTCTACAATTTTCTTT